CTGTGGAAAAGAAAGAAAAAAGCAGTGAGGACATAACAGCAAAAATAACTTTCTGCCCATTTAATGTGCCTCATACTGGGTATGTCTATACATGCTGCTACAGTATCGTTGTTACTGCGCCATCATTTACTGGTTCCTAAAGGAAGTACTACATGATGGCGCAGTAACAATCATTACTGCGCCGTGCTAGCAGTGCATGGTTATTTTTTAGCTGCTACGTCACCACAGTGACACGCTAAGTGAGAGAGCGTCTCACTAGGGCAAGGTAGGTGCAGCATCATGGTTTATGCCTGCTGACACTATGTCACCGTAGTGTGTTGCTACAATGACGTAGCATCTCGTGTAGACGTGCCCACTGTATTTTAAAAATTGTACCTGGTTACCTTCAATTATCAATATTAGTGACGCACTGGGTGTGTCTACATGAGATGCTGACTGCACAGTAGCTGAATAATACTGCAAAGTAGCACGTCACAGCACTATCAGTGCTAGTGCACAGTATTATTTGGCTACTGCTCAGTAGCATCATTTAAAAGAATTTGCTGGCACTACTGCGCAGTAACTCCGGTTACTGTGCATTTATTTAATACTTAATTATACAAGTACTAAATAAAAGCACAGTAACCACTGCACAGTAGCATCTCGTGTAGACACACCCATTTTGTGTATAGTATATAGCAAATAGCAAAACATGCATGTTAAAACATTACTAATATTAAACTAAAGATTCAACAGAACTTTCTTATTTGTGCATTGCACAAAACATATACATATATACAATACATGTGTGAATAGGAAAATGTTCTTCCAATAACTTCTTTTGAGAAACAACAAAAAAGAGCTAACACTTTAATGCTCTATATTGGCAAACAGCTAGCAGCAAAACGATGTTACTGAACTTTTATTAGTACTCACTCTAACCTTTATTACAAAGGATTCAAATTGTGAAACACAGAAAAAGAAAACTAAACTTGTTCTATAGGCTTCAAAAATAATGATGATGATCTGTTTAGGTCCCTTCTGACCCTAAGTACTATGATACTATGATAACTTAGGGCAAAATGCACAAAGACACCCTAGGTACTAAAACTGGACTTAATTAGAATTTGGGTGCAGTGCTTACATCGAGAAGGAAGGAAGGATTCTACTGCAACAACAGAAAAAACCAAGAGTTGCTTAACCTATAGTCCTGAAAGCTCCCTACATATCTGAGCAGGCAGGCACCCAGCTCCCACCTAGATATAAAATATGGAAGAAATGCACCTAAATTTTGCCTGCTTCCCCAAGGAAATCAATCCAATAGGGGTGTGTGAAGTCCACCTAACGTACCAGCAGCACTGAGTCAAGTTTAAAGCACACTAGTCACTGTCCAGAATAAAACATGCCCACCAGAGGAGGTACTGATGCTCCCCACCTCTTTATAACTTCGGGCAAAATGCTTATGTAGGAAGTGGGAGACCTGGTTTCTAGGCTCACCTCAGCCTGAATGGATTCAAAACCTCATCTTCCTCCTCCCAAGCACCAAGCTACAGAACAGTCTATAGTTGTATATAGTTAAACAGTCTTAGGTTGGATATTAGGAAGAACTTTCTAACCATGAGGACAGTTAAGCTCTGGAAATGATTACCTAGAAATGTTGTGAGATTTCCCTCCCTGGAAGTTTTTAAAAACAAGTTAGATAACCACCTGCCTAGAATGGTTTAGAAAGGGATGATCCTGCATTGGATTCTAATTCCTTCCCTACCTTTTGCAGCGTTGTGCTTCATCTGTCCATACTGCTAGTCCTATTAACTGCAATACTCTTTTCTATGCGCTTCCTCCTCCCTCCTTTCACCCTCCCCGCCCCTCTTTGTTTGTGTGTATATACACATGAGCAACTCAAATGGCCCCTTATTTTTAAATAAGTTTATAAAATGCATCTTTCTTGGGACTTTTTTTATCATAATTTTGTGAAATATTTTGTCTCTAGCAGTACTATTAATGCTTGTGAAAAAATAAGAAGACACATTTGTTTTAAGTAAATCCTCAACTGGTAAAGAATTCAATTCTTTAGCTTCCTACTTCTGTAAGATATACTGCCAGAAATCACCACACTGACTTTGAGCAAGGAGTTGCAACTATAAAATGTTTTACTAACATCAGCAGAAGTTGAGAGAGTTAAATGTTCTCTAATAGCTATCCAGAGAATACGCATAAGACAAAACAGGCATCTTTGTAATGTACATCTTCTTGATACTGTACAAACGGAATAAAATTTAAGTACAGCTTGTGTTGTCCTAACATTTTGTTTACTTGGAGTGATTTTTAAAATTACTTTGTTTTCTTTAATTGCAAAAGCAGATGCTGAGTGCTGTTGTATGCTGAGTGTGTAGCTCCACAGGGGACATGAAACTAATTCAAATTAAGTTTTTCTACTCTCTGCAGGGAATCAGATCACATGACATACACTGCAGATTCAATCCTTATTAAAAATAGAGATCTTCCTAAAATGTCATTCTGTCCTTTCTTGAAGACATTAATTATTCACTTCATCTACATTTCATAAATGATGAGGTTTTTTTTTATTATCATCATAAATATATATTTTTAAAAGAACAGGGTTTTTTTTCCCATCCCCAGAAGGTGCACAGTCTAAAATAGCCTATCCTTTCTCTAGCAGACTTAATGAGTTATGACAACACTGCAGTATACTACTCAACAGACCTTGGTTAAAAGTTTATATATTACACTGTATTCTGCATTGTCTACTAAATGTTTTAATTTTCCTTTTAGAACATCACTAGACCCCTCCTATAGTATCTCAAAATGCATGTCACCCACTTAGAAGGAAAACCGGTATTAGGTCTTTACATATAATCACAACTTCAGGGTAGGCTGGAAATATGAACTGTTTTATAATATTCTGAAACAACTGTTTAGAGCACAAAGAAATTCTGGCTTGACCTAAAGACCACAGAAATAAACATTTACTTCAGTTGGCTTTGAATCAGGCCCCATATTAGCTACTGTATAAGGGATACAAACAAATTACTGCAAGACAGGCTTGGTCACAATTACACTTGACTTTACACTCCCCGCCATATCTTGGATGTCACGGTAAAAGGGCTATGCAGTACTCACTATGAAGCAAACAGTTCTCATTTTACTGAATTTCCATGGTCTACTTTTTGTTAAGTTATTTTAAAGTCGTTGTATACACATATCTTGTATCACAAAGTCCAAGTAGTAAATATGAGTTTAATTCAGAAATCTGCTAACTTGGTATGTTGGAACAAAATCTGGCGAATGTTAACTACTATGGAAACCCCTTTTTCTTTTTATGTTACCCACTACTTAGCAGTAGAGAAAACAGTAATTACAACATCAAAACTTCCAGCCAGCCCCATTAAACCTAAGACTATGAATTAATAAAGTAGAGGACTATAGAATACCACAATGAAGGCATGAATAGATTGTTTTTAATATATATTCCTGTGGAGCAACTGATTTAAAATGTATGGAAATAAGAAAACACTTAATCCATATGGGCAGTATTATAAGAATAGCTTAATTCTCGGGGCTAGTAACTTTTACTGGAAAAATATTTAATAGTAGACATTTGTGTTGATCAGTAAATGAAAGTGTAATAAAATGCCCTGTCCAAAAATATTATCTTTTTCCTTTGAAGGCCTGTTAATTATGGTTACATGTAAGCTATGTGACTTACTTTGAAATGTGACCAAAAGAAAATTATTTTGCCCAACTTTACTAACATAACAACAAACATGCCCTGTTGTGCATTTGGGTCAAACAATTTTATTTTAAAGAAACCTACAGTTTTGTCCTGCCCCATGAAACTACTATACTAATCTGAATCAAAACAGACATTTCAAAAATACTTATATAATCCAAAAATCCCCAAACGGTATAAAAAGAAATCAGTAAGTCAGTTTAAAAGGCCAGTCAATACTCTTAGTACGTCTCCTGTGCATTATATCAAAGATTGTTCATCTTTTATAAAGTAAACTCATGGTTAGATGTATATTCTCCCCTAAATACATATATGCTACTTTCATCTTACAGGTCTAGTGTATTGTGTGCACCATGAAAGATAAATAAAGGGAACTATTATTTTAAGCATTTCCCTTCATAGGCAATGGTCTGAACAGGCTATTGAACTTAGATTACAATAGTGTAACATCATGTTCAGATACTGTAATTAACTGAAGAGATGTCATAAATATGACTGCGGTCATAAACCCTTTGGCTATCCTTTCATCTGATCACACACACTAAGCAGGCTTGTTGTCTGATTGGATAGAGAACCTCTAGGGAAACCACAGCCACTGTTGGAAACAGTACTGGTAACTAGGCAGTGCCACTTTTCCATCTAATAATATTGAATAAGGCTCATTGAATAAAGCTTCCGTAGTGAATAAAGCTCATTGAATACTTCCTGTTAAATATCTGACTTTGTGCATGTTGAAGAAAAACAAGATAAAGATGATTCAACCAATATTTTGATGCTATTCAGCCAGCTCTCAGCTGTTAAATAATTTGATAATTTATAAAAACCTATCAAAAAATGTATTTGACTTTAAAAGAGTTTTATACTGCTGAAAGAATGTCCCATAATAAAAGTAAGAGGCATTGTACTTTTAGAGGAAAGGTCTACCTACTACTATGTTAAATTGAAGTTCAGGCCAGATATGATTATTAAATATTTTTTAACAAGAGCTAAGAAGTTAGGGCAGGTGTCTTGGCCAGCCCACAGTTGTGCAATTATATTTGGTCTGCCTTAGGTCATCTTGTTCTTTCAACAAGATACCATATTAATCTTAGCTAAATTGTTAACGTAATTTCATAAGACACTTTTATTGTGCATGCACCCCCACTAGCAAACACTGTACATGGTGAAACATTTCAAAGAATTTGGGGGCACACCCTATGAACAAGTTAGGCCCTGCAAAGTTAAATTTTAGGCTTCTGGACCCCAGCATAGAACCCAGCATCAAGAATCA